GAGGAACTTACTGAGAGATTTAATAAGGTTGTTGCAACCACTCAATCAAAGCTGTGTCCTCACTTGAACCTGACAGGACTGGGGATTTTCTCTTTGATGACATCTATATAATGCATCCCAGAGAGTGTATTTTTCAAAACACTAGAAAAATTACATAGCTGTTACTCAGAGGAAACAACGTTTCAGAAAAACAGGTCATTTATTGTGGCTGATACTGATTTCCACAAGATGTTACTATCAAAGGACTAACTCCTGTTCAAAACACTTTGGTGTATAAATAAGCTCAGGTAACTGTAACATTCAGGTGAGTATCACTCCCCTAAATACTCCATCCCTCAAAGGACATTTGATGACATCAGCTTTCCTAGCTCTCCAGATGAGAGCAAACTCAGATATTTCCTTTCATTTTTTGTTGAGAAATGAGATATCTGAAAGTCTGAAAAATCTTTGATCCCAGATGTTACTGAATTGCTACAGCATGGCAGATAGGCAGGGAAATACCCAGTGGGATAGGCAGAATTAACCTTTTGTATTTTAAACAGTAGTGCTCTCTGTGTGTAATCCAGGTGTTTGTGACATCCAAGATGAGGAACAGTGCACCCAAACTGTGTGCTGGCTAAAACATGAAGCTTCACAGGATTAACAAACTAGTTTAGAGAAATGGGGCTGCTCTCCCAAAGCTTATTGCAAAATTAGGGCCTTATTGTTTGGTTATTTTCTCCTATAATCTGCTCTTCTGTTTTGGGACAAGGCAGGCATAGCTAAGCTACTAAATTCTCTCTTGAATTAAGTCGTTTGGTGTTGTTGCTGTTGGGGATTTTTGGTTAAAACAGGATTAATATTTAATTTACAGTTTTAGGAATTTTTGTGAGGATGAAAGACACTTTGCTGTAGTGGGCTCTTATCCTGTAATAGTACTGGTTGTGTTGTGGGTTTTTTTACTTCAAAAAGCAAACATGAATAAATAAACAAAAACAACTTTTTGAATGAAAAATGTCCCCTGGCACAATAAGCTGCAGTGGGCCTGTCAGAGTGTTCTCCATCAGTATCTCCAAAGGATGCTGACACAGCTCAACCTGCCATGAGCACTAGAAGAAGTGGCAGGATCCACAGTGTAAGTTTTTGATCATATGAGTTCTAATTCCCAGGGAGATCTAAAACTGGCATTTGAAAGCAGACATTGTGGGAAACACTGTTAGACCCAGGCAGGGGAACAGCTTCAGCCAAGGATTGCTTGCCTTTAGGATGTCACAGGTTTTGGGGTCAACGCTGTTACCTCCAAGATGTGTGTCTGGACCCAGCGTGCTTGTCCCTCCCCCAGAGCTTGTCAGAGAAATGACAAAACCATAAGCAGTTTAAGAGAAGGACACTGCACAAATGAATGTTCTCGGCTCTGTACACACGCTCTGTGTGTATTGCAAAGGCTGGGATTTACAAGTGCAGGAACTTCAGAGTTTAGTACAAGACCACCAGATACTTTCAGCTATTACTTAATGTGTCAAATTCCCACCTTGTTCCTTGTGAAAATTAGGGGACTTTTAGGGTTTTGTTACTGGTTTTGAAGATTTTCTGCACAACGATACTCATGTTTTGCCTCGGGTAGGTGGATGTGCTATGTGCTCAGAGAGCCTATCTGAGACAAAAAATGGATACAAAGAGCGAGGGAATATATTTGCTTTTTGCTCCTCAGCTGTGGTTATCTTTGTGTACAGTGAGGCTATTTGGTAGTTGGTCTGGTGCTGGAAAGGCTTTTTCAGAGTTTATGGTGGGTGAATCAGCAGCAGGTTGATGTAATGCCTTATTAACTACAACTCACACTGTTTTTTTGAGATCTTTGCCCTGTTTAAACTTATTACTGGTTGCTGGTAGAACAATGAATTTTGCTAAGAGCATAAACATACAATATGAAGTGGTGACATCAAAAAAGCAGAGCTTTCAGTAAGGTATTGATTCAAGCAGTGACTTGAAAAATGTGGGGTTTATCCTAACATTTGAACTCTTCCCAGTAGGAGAATGTTTGTAACTGAGACATGCAGAACCAGCTAACTTCAAACAGAATAATCCTGTCTTCTTCCCTCATCTGTCATCCCTTCCTTCCACGCAAAGCTTATTTTGTAGAAGCTCATTCTTGTAATAGTTAGGAAGAGTCATAATTTCTTAATGAAATTCCTTGCTTCTGACACACTCTGTAAAAAATAGCAACCCCTTCAGTAGACATCTCTTTGGAATTTTTGCAGCGTTTAATAGTTCCAAGAATAGGGCTGTAAGTTGTCTTCTGCTAGCTTTAATGTGCTAGCCACTGTAACAACTGCTTGCTTTGGTCAGCCATAGACTTTTGTGTAAGAGCTACATGGAAAGATGAGAAATCAGGCTGGGAACAGGAGTGACAAATTGATGTGAATATATTTTTCAAATTATAAATACATAAGAGAGCTGAGAGATTTAGAAGTTTTCTGAAGGGTCCGGCCCCCAGTGATTGTGAGCTGGGAGGAGGACTATACCTATATATAGAGAAGGAAAATACTACCCAGGACAAATAAAACAGCAAATACAGGCAGAAGGGGAGTAAGAGCAAGCTAATGACTGCAGAATAGTGTTACTGAAGGTTTGCAACCTGGGAGCTTGCAGTTACATACATGTTTCCCTGAGATTGCCACAGTGCCAGAAGTCAAACCTGAGAAGGAAAGGTTGGAAATAGCTGTGTTCCTCTGGGATTTCATTAGCCCAGAATAAGTGAACTGAATCAGGGGATCAGGCCCTTTAGCAGCTGAACTGCTGAGAGCCTGGCAGGGAAACCTGAGGCAGAATAGCTGCAGCGTCACATCACGTGGCAATAAACTCCAGAGCTGCTTCTCGCTTCGCTGAACTACTTTTTATCCCTTGGAGAAAGTACTCATTAGCCCTTTTAATTATTTTCCTAACCACTAGAACTCCAGATGCCATTACGTTATATAAAATGACAAATGTATTTTTAACTCGTAAAGCATGTGAACTTTAAGCTCTTTCCAGTGATATGAGTACAGCTCCATTTCAATGCATGACTCATCTTCACATGTAGGAAAAACTCAGCATTTCACATCCCTGTAACTACACTCCATGCGCCAGTGATGAGCGACAGTTGCTGTGGGAACCATCACTTTTAATATCCTGGCTGTGCATACAAAAGCTCAAAAAAATACTGCTTATTTGGCAGCAAAGGCTGCCTCTAATATCAGCGCCCACTGTTTTGGTAACTAAAGGATTGTAGCCTGTCCGGTATCGAGGCCCAACGCTTCGCTCCGTATCAGTACTGTTTAAATCAGGTTTTGGAGGGGACGTGCCCCTTCGTTTCCCGTTGCCGGGGGCCGGGGCGGTGGCGCTGCCGGCCGGGCGGGACCGGCCCGGAGCCTCCCAGGCAGCTGCGGCCCACGCTGCTCCCCCTCTAGCAGGGCCCAAATCAATGAATAATGTGGCCGGTGCCTTAAAACACCGTCCTACGCTGGGGATGTTTTCCCACCACCACCCGTTCGTCCTTCCCGGGGAACCTGCCGCCGGGCACCGCCCCCTCTGGCCCCGCAGCCGCCGGGGTGGCTGGAGC